TGTGCTCCAGTGTTTGCAAATGTATCATTATACACAGTGCTTTGAAAGTAATAGCAATGGAATAAGGCAATATTCTCCGAGAGGAGACTATGGGCAGCAAAAGTGTGCTAGTCCTGCTGCAATTAGGATGAGATCACGCGACCGAGTTTTTATGTTTATTTTTTTTCTAGGCATGGCGTGAATTTACTTATGGGGAAATAAGCTCTTTTTTCTCAAAGGGAGACTGCGGGCATCAAAAAAAACTATGGCATGAAGCGTGATACTACGGCATAGGTCACAGTGGCATAACATAAGTTTGTGTGTCTATTTTGGCACTTCTTGCAGCACTCCCTGTCTTGGCTTTTCAGTCAGGGGAGTATTTTTTTCCAAGAGGAGACTGTGGGCAGCAAGAAAACAGAGCAAAGATCACAGTTGGGTGGTTTTTTTGGGGGGGTTGTTTCTAGCCGTCTTTCCTGTATTTACTTCTCAGGAAGGAAACTCATTTTATCCGAGAAGAGACGGCGGGCGGGAACAAAATAGAGGGCTGTAGAGTCTAACAATAAAACAGATTCCAATGTGACTTAATGCAAATACATGCCTATATTTTGAACATTGTAGCAGTTCTTCCTAATTTACTTTTCAGACCAATTTTATCCAGAAGGAGACTGCGGGCTACAAGAACTCTGACCTCTGCGGCAAAGTGCAGACTGTGACAGGCGGGGGTCACGTTAGCACGTGTGTTCATGCTGGTTATTCCTCGCCGTGTTTCCTGCTTTGGCTTCTTGATAATAGCAATTCATTTTGACCCGTGAGAAGATTGCGGGCAGATGTGGAGCGTAATAATACCGCAAGATCTCGGGTTGTGTTTTCCTATCTTGACAAAAATGATAAGGGGTGGCAAGAAAGAGAAAGTGGCGAGGAGACAGAGAATGTGACAGCCAGGTCTCATCTTGTGTGGGGATCTTGTCTCGACTGGCCCTGAAACCCCTCCTGGTGTCATCATCATCATCATCATCGTCGTCGTTATGGCGTCTGACACCCTCACGCATGGTATCGCATCACGCACGGCTACCTGTTCGAACTTCATCACATGGACCAGCTGTTTGGGCCTTACGGAGAGCAAATGGGGGTTGGGGACGACTCGCCAAGTCCTGGTCCTTCTTCCTGTTTCGACTGGGCCCTGGTGTCCCCCCCTCCCCCACCATTCCTACGCTTCAGGTTACACGGCTTCAGGCCCCCTCGCAGTCCCAGGATGCATATCAAATGTAACCTCGCATACACTAGGAGCAGACTCAACCCCTAATGCTTTGCTCTGATGGCTTTTTTTCCTTTTTCATGCATGTAAAGCGTGCGCCAACTTTGCCATGATGCTAAAAGGGGCCCACAGTCCAAAAAAAAAATGAAAAGGACTGCTCTAAAAGTATCTAAAAAGGCTTTGTGTGGACTTTGGAGAGTTGGTAGTGAGGGTGCGCCAACTCAGTTGCGACGTTAAAATGGTGCGCTGCTGAAAATTAAGACAGTCTACTCTGAAAGTATCCAGAAGGCATTCTTTTGTCCTTTTGGGGAATGTGTTCAGACTCTCACAGGATGTTGAAGGGTGGTGCGTAGTGTGAAAAAATGTGTCAGGATTGCGCCAAGAGTATCGAAAAAGGCTTTGTTTTGACTTTATTTTTATAGTGTCTGTCGAGTAGAGTGGGTGTGCCCACTTTGTGGGGATGTTGTCGGGAGCGCATGACTTTAAACCCTTCAGAGAGATTGTTTTGAAAGTATCCAAAAGGCTTTTTTTTTTGAAGGTGTTCGGACTGTGACAGGATTTTGATGGGCCTGAAATATTCAAAAATGTATGAGGATGGTATCAGAGGGGTGCGCCAACTCTGTCAGGATGGAGAAGGGAGAGCTTTGAGTGTTTTTAAGAGGAAAAAAACACAACAACTTGTGTTTTTTGGATGTTGTCTGGGACAAACTGTGGGTGAAGAAAAAAAAAAAAGCCAAGTCTACTGTGTGTGCGCCTATGTGTGGCTGCATGGGTGGCTACTCACT